ACATATAGACACACATATATATATATATAGACATATAGACACACACTTTTTTTTTTTAAATACTTTGTTGAAAATCCTTTGCAGGCAATGACTGCTTGAAGTCTGGAATGCATGGACATCATCAAACGCTGGATTTCCTCTTTTTGGGCAGCACAGTGGCGTGGTGGTTAGCGCTTCTGCCTTGCAGCACTACAGTCCCCAGTTCGTATCCCGGCCAGGTCACTAGCTGCAAGGAGATTTGCATGTTCTCCCTGTGCATGCGTGGGTTTCCTCCGGGTACTCTGGTTTCCTCCCACACTCCAAAGACATGCTGGTAGGTTAATTAGCTCCTCTCTAAGTTGGCCCTATACATGTGAGATAGGGACCTTAGATTGTAAGCTCCTTGAGGGTAGAGACTGATGTGAATGTGCAACTATGTAAAGTGCTGCGTAAATTGTTGGCGCTATATAAAAACCTGTAATAAATAAATTGTGATGCTTTCCAGGCCTTTACTGCAGCTGTCTTCAGTTGTTGTTTGTTCATGAGTCTTTTTGCCTTAGGTTTTGTCTTCAGGTTGAGATCAGGTGACTGACTGGGCCATTGCAGAATATTCCACTTGTTTGCCTTAAAAAAAACTCCTGGGTTGCTTCCGCACTATGTTTTGGGACATTGTCCATCTGTAAAGTGAAGTGCCGTCCAATCAACTTCACTGATGTGGCTAAATCTGAGCAGACAATATATCCCTATACACAGAAAAATTAATCCGACTGCTTATGTCACATCATCAATAAACACTAGTGTCCCAATGCAATTGGAAGCCATGCATGTCCATGCCATCACACTGCCTCCACTGTGTTTTAAAGATGATGTGGTATGCTTCAGATCATGAGCCGTTCCAAGCCTTCCCCATACTTTTTTTTTCAAATCATTCTGGTACAGGTTGATCTTAGTTTCACCTGTCCAAAGAATGCTGTTCCAGAACCGGGCTGTTTTTTTTAAATATATTTCCGGCAAAGTCTAATCTGGCCTTTCTATTCTATGAATGGTTTGCACCTTGTGGTGAACCCTCTGTATTTGCTCTTGTTAAGTCTTCTCTTTATGGTAGACTTGGATAATGATATGCCTACCTCCTGGAGAGTGTTCTTCACTTGGCTGGATGTTGTGAAGGGGTTTTTGTTTTTTTTACCATGGAAAGGATCCTATGATCATCCACCACTGTTGTTTTCTGTGGACGTCCAGGCCTTTTTGTCATGAAGAGCTCACCAGTGTGTTCTTTTTTTCTCAGAATATACCAAACTGTTAATTTGGCCACTCCTAATACTCTTGCTTTCTCTCTGATGGATTTCTTTTTTTTTGCAGCCGAAGGATGTGCCGTTTCACTTGCATTGAGAGCTCCTCTGAACGCATGTTGTGGGTTCACAGCAACAGTTTCCAAATGTGAATGCCACACCAGGAATTAACTCCAGACCTTTTACCTGCTTAATAGATTCTAAAATAATGAAGGAATAGCCCACACTTGTCCATAAAACAGCTTTTGAATCAAAGAGCTGTAATTCCTAAAAGTGGAGTGTGCGTGCCCCGGCTTCCTCCGGTGCTGCGGGCCCCGACCGCCTTCAGTCACCTGTACGGCCGTCACCCAGGTAAGGTTCGCGGGCCCCTGAGGCTGGGCGGGCCCCTTACTTGAGTGTCGGCCGTACCCCCCTGACGGCGGCCCTGGTCCTATTTAAAGAAATACTTTGGTTGACCAGTCATGTGATTTCAGCTGCAAAGGTTTAGGGAAGTGGTGTTCAGGCAGAGCCAGTCAATCAATGGCTTGCCTCAAGTTTAATCCCCCCTATAACTCACATCACCTGACGAGGCATAGTGGGAGCTTGGAGCAGCATCTTTACCCCTATAAATATAAAAGGGACAGTATGCTTAGGATGACCGAGGTTATTTAAGGTATGGTTCATGTTAACATTAGCCAGTTTTTTTTTAAAATAAAGAATTACCTTCTTGACTTTTGCAGTGAACAATTGCTACACCTGTAAAGACACTGTGTTCTTTGCCACTCAACCTTAAAAAAAAATGGAAAAATAACTATCACTGGTTCTTTTATCATATCCTTCTAGCCAGACAAAAGATTTTTAGGAACACAATTTCAGTTTAAATATTTGCATATATGTCACCAACTTGAGACACGAAAATTTACAATACACTCTTATTCAGAAATCACAATTGAACTCAGCCATTTACTAGAAGAGTTGCTAACCTTGATAACATATTATACGCGTCTTGTTTGTCAAGAGGCTTTTCAAGGATCGCATCTTCTAGTGTCTGTAGAAAAAGCAGCATGTCAATATAATGAAGCGCAAATACATTTATAACATGTACATGTCAGGGTTGGTTCACGCTTTTGCATGTCTGGCACAGTTAAATTCATGGGGAACTGCACATAATAAGATCTGTGCCCAATATACTTAATCCTAATAGTTTTCATCAGAGTTTTTGAAAAGTCCTAAAAACAGCAGTTTCACCACATTTGGCACAGCAAAAGATGTCCGGAAAAACATATGAAAGGCATGTGAAATACACCAGCTACAGTATGCTTCCAGACTATGCTATCCTAAGAACATGCTGTTTTTCTTCTTTTATACCTATGTACATGCAGTAATTTGTGCTACTCAATGAATTTATGTGCTTGTTCAAACTTTAAATGTTTTTTTTTTCTGTTTGTTCATTCATTAATGTGGAATTAAACTAACAAAAAAAAAAAGGACCCCAAGGAGCTTTTATCACCAATGCGCTAGTATACGCAGCATATTAGCACATTATGGCAGATTAACCGACCTAAGCAACCCGTTCTTCCGGTCTTACTGTTGGAATTCTTCGGCCACTTGATTGGCCGGTGCCACATGACATAATTCCTGTACACGAGCATGGGAATTGCAGAAAAAAAGTGCTGACACAAGTGCTGAGAACTTTTTGAAAATGAGACTATACTTCCGCCCGTCAGCAATTTGAGGCAATCCCTTAGGAAAGAGAATGTTCCCTGGTGCAGACTAGTTTAAAAATGCACACAACTGCATGATATACAGTGTTTTGTGCATTTACAATTCATACCAATGGGCCTGCTTAAAGTGTTGCTGTACCTTTAAATTCATTTAGCCCAAATCCAACCGCCCTAAGGTATACAGCTCTAACCCCCCTCTCCTCAGTAGCTACTTACCTATAGTATTTAAGCTTGGGGAAATGGAAGGGTGGATTTAGGCAGTCAGTAGCAGACAGGAGCTTTAAACGGACTTCGGCTTTTTACCATAAATGATTTCACACTTCTAGCCTGTGGAAAGTGCGCCCCCCCCCCCCATGCCATGTATCCCAGGCTCTGCTGCACATTCTGAGTGCCTGGTACGTCCATGGCAGATGTCAGCAGGGAGAGCAAAGGACGATCAGCGAGCATCCTAAATGTTCCTGATGTGAATGAAGCCAGGGCTTTTTGTTACTTCCAGTTCTTTCCCAGCTTGATTAGCTTGACTGTCCCCTCAACCTCCTCAGGGCTGGAGCTATTTTTTAATTCTTCACAACCCCCAAATTATACATTTTCTGAAAGCAGAGGCCCTGTAGAGTAAAAAAAAAATGATAGCAGCATATTTTGAGTACCACAATATTTCACCATTGCACAGGTGTGTGCATTTTTGAGGCTTGAGATGTTTTGTATTTATTTACTCGATGTGACCACATCTTTTCTATTGGGTGTTATATTGTGTTTGTGTGCACTAAAATTTATTTTAGTGTAATCGTATTGTGCAGAAGTGGTTTCAAGAACATGAGGGAGAATTTACCTTGCTTAGGTGGCCCCCACAATCACCAGATCTCAATCCAATTGAGCATTTGTGGGACGAAGTTGAAAGAGCCATCACCACTTCCTCTTTCTGTAGGTGCCCCCCCAAGAGCTACACCTCCTTCCTTGGTCAGTTGATAACCTTGTATGGCTCCCAATACCATCTCTATTGTGATGACACACACTCCGCAACCCATCACTTCAGTCTCCTTGAGCATCACTAACCTATTAGCTGACATTAGTATGGATGTCACACCAATCCTTACCACTCAGTCTTTAAAAAACTGTGTTCATGATATTTCCTACCCTCATTTTTTTTTACACAAATAGAGCTTTCTTTTGGTGCTATTTGATCACCGCTGTTTTTTTATTTATTTTATTTTTTTATATGAATGAAGAAAGACCAAATATTGTGGGGAAAAAATGATATTTTCTACTTCTTGGTGTAAAAAATATCAAATAAAATCATATATTTCTTCCTAAAGTTAGGCAAGATTTATTCTGCTAAATGTTTTGGGTTAAAAAAATCGCAATAAGTATATACTAAGCGGTTTGTGTAAATTGGTAGGTACCAATTATAAGTCTTTTTAAAACATGGTTTTTATCCATATGCAGGGGCGTCCCGAGACCAGGTGTCGCCCGGAGCAGAGACCGGGTGACACCCCGCGGTGACATCATCGCGCATGCATGTGACGTCATCGCACACGCGCTGTCATTTAATTGACGCCTGCCGGCGGCCATCTTGGTGATGGACGCCAGCAGAGAGAGGAGGGGATGTTCACCCGGCGGGATGAGGTATGCCGCCAGGTCCCCTCCTCTCTCCTGACACTGTCGGGCTCCCCGTCTATGACCTAGTGCCGACCTTTTAGAGGGGGTGACACCAAAATGACTGTCAGTCATTTTGTAGTCACCCCTCCAATGGTGTCACCTGGGTGTGGGCCGCACCCCCCTTGTGACGCCACTGTCCATATGGTGTCAAACAACAAAATCGGTATTGCTCAGGGTAAAGGATTGGTTTAGGAATGATATGGCTGGTATATTTTTCAAACCTTGGTGTGTCTGCTAGATAAAGTCTTATAATTTGAGGAAGCTGAACCCCCCCAGGAAAAAAAATTATCTACGGCCCTGCAATTAGGTAAATTTCCCTTACATCCTCTGTGGTGACCAGCATAGAAAGTAAAGGGAAATATCCCAAATAAATATTCAGACGCAATAAAAACACGACAAAGGTTCAGAACCTTACCACTTGACAAAATTATTTGACTAAATATAATATACATCAGTAACCTCCTATTGACTGCACCAATGAGAAAAAAAATGCTATTTTTAATTACATTGCTAACTTACCACAATAGTATCTGCTCCAATGACAATATCTGGGGTTTTAAGGTGCTTCTAAAAATAAATTTAAAAAAACAAAACAAATTTTAATGACAGCAAAATATTCATCCTAACAAAAAAAAAAAAAATGGTATGTCTAGTGGTTAAAACAGCAATTTATCGCTATCTGCCTTTTTTTGGGACAAGCAGGTTCACGTTATTCCAGTTAATAGTACAGAATAGGAAGTATGTGAAACAAAAATCATTTAAAAGTTATACACAGTTATACAAAGTTATATTTTAAAAGTTAACAAAGACACAATTTTAGTTAGCTATATTTTACAGGGCATTTATAGTGCGTTATTACATTTTCATAACTTATGTTGAGAACTAAACTTGAATTGTTATACCGATTTAGTCAGGTAAATATGAAATATTGCATATTCAAATTTTAATACATTGCAGGCAGGTAGTAATGAATATATATTCTGTGCTTTGCAAAGTTTCTAGCTGAAGGTGCCTGCAAACAGTAGGCAATAGCTGGCCGATCATGCACAATTTAAATAAATGAACTTTCTCATGAATGATTGTTATACAAACAAGCATGTCCACATAGGGGAAGTAAGCATGTCTGTTCCCTTTGAGAAGAGGGCACTAAAAAAAAGAAAAAGAAACAGCAGTGTCTCAAAAGGGAAAATTCATTCTGGCTGAACAACTATTCATTAGGTAAGGTAGGTCAGGGGGGGACTGAGAAGAGTCTACAGACATATATTTCTTTTAGTTCCATTTAAGGAATTTTCCCCTATGCTTATAAGCACTTTTATAGCTGTTGTGTTGTAAATAAACCTAAAGAAAGCACAATAAAAAAACCAAAAAAAAACAAAAAAAAAAAAAAAAAAAAGACACCTTTTCCCCCTCTAAGGGAACTATTGCAACAATACAGCCTGGCAGAGCCCCAGTGGTAACGGCCTTGTCATGAAGGAACCCCGTCATTTATGTTAATTTGTAAAATATGACTTTTGTTTTACAAAATAAACACATTGTTTTATTAAAAACATGAATAAATACATTAACCCTTTCGCTGCCAAGGACGTACGGCATACGGAGCTACAAAAGTGCTTCCAGCTGGCCAGCTCAGTATGCCGTACGGACCTGGCATTTACAGTTCTACTATAAGCTGATGGTCCCCAGGGAGGGATGAGAGACTCCATGAATCCCCGCTGCTGTCCCCCGCTTGTAGGGTCTGTGGCAGCGGGGATCCGTAAAAAAAATCACCGGCGGGAGGGTCGGGGAAGCAAGCGGCGGCTGGCCTCAATTCAGGATGGCCGAGCGGCATAGTGATCGGAGCTGCTGTCATCCTGTCAGTTTCAGGATGACAGCGGCTCTGTAGCGTGGCCGAGCGGGGGATCGTTAAATATCATTGATATTTAACGATCCCTCTGTGCAGAGCAAACACCGGAGTGATCGTCTGATCACTCCGGTGTTTGTAAATAACTGGGGACACATAGTACTATGTGTCCCCAGTTATGAATGAACAGGCTGCGATCTACATCACAGCCTGTTCATTCAAGAATTTATGAATGGGGACTAGCACTCACTACAGAGGCTCCTCCCCATTCA